CACATCACTGTATCAAGCACAGTGCTGAGCACACAGTAGATACTCAGTGACTACATCTTAACTTAGCAATAGTTATACCACTCTTCCCATTCTCCAATTTCAACCAATGTTAATAAACATAATAAAAATAATTTATTAAGCACCTACTGTGTCTATATAGAGCAAAAGGCTCAGTTCTCGGGAAAATATATGGATGCATATGACTATAGATGGCTTTAATTTCTTCATCTGAGAACTGACTGTTCATATCCTTTGACCATTTATCAATTGGGGAATGACTTGTATTCTTATAAATTTGACTTAATTCTCTATATATTTTAGAAATGAGGCCCTCATCAGAGAGACTGGTTGTCAACATTCTTTCCCAATTTTCTACTTTCCTTCTAATCTTGGTTGCATTGGGTTTGTTTGTGCAAAAACTTTTCAATTTAATGTAATCAAAGTTATCTATTTTGCATTTCGTAATGTTCTCTATCTCCTGTTTGGTCATGAATTCTCTGTTCTCCATAAATCTGATAAGTAAACTATTCCTTGCTCTCCCAGTTTGCTTACAGTATCAGCCTTTATATCTAAATCATGAACCCATTTTGGCTTTATTTTGGTATATGGTGTGGGATTTTGGTCTGTGCCTAGTTTCTGCCATACTCTTTTCCAGTTTTCCCAGCAGTTTTTGTCAAATAGTGAGTCCTTATTCCAGAAGCTGGGGTCTTTAAGCTTATCAAATAATAGATTACTATAGTCACTGACTACTGTATCTTGCATACTTAACCTACTCCACTGATTTACCACTCTATTTCTTAGCCAGTACCAAGCAATTTTGATGATTGCTGCCTTATAATACAATTTAAGATCTGGAATGGCTAGGCAAAAATGCTCTAAATCACTATTGAATAGAGAAATGCAAATCAAAACAACTACCACATCACACCTATCAGATTGGCCAACATGACAAAACAGGAAAATTATAAATGTTGGAGAAGATGTGCGAAAATTGGAACACTAATGCATTGTTGGTAAGAGTTGTGAAATGATTCAACCATTCTGGAGAATAATTTGGAACTATGCTCAAAAGACTATAAAAATGTGCATACCCTTTGACTCAGCAATAGCACTTCTAGGGCTATATGCCAAAGAGATCATACAAATGGGAAAAGGACCCACATGTACAAAAATATTTATAGCAGTTCTTTTTGTGGTGGCAAAGAATTGGAAACTGAGAGGATGCCCATCAATTGGGGAATGGCTGAATAAGTTGTGGTATATGAATGTAATGGAATACTATTGTGCTATAAGAAATGATGAACAGGCTGACTTCAGAAAAACCTGGAAAGATTTGTATGGTCTGATGCTGAGTGAAGTGAACAGAACCAGCAGAACGTTGTACACAGTAACAGATGTGTTGTGCAATGACTAATATTGATAGATTTAACTCTTCTGAGCAATGCAAGGATCTAAGACATCTCCAAAGGCCTCATGATGGAAAATGCTATCCATATCCAAAGAATGAACTATGGAGTTTGAATGCAGATGGAAGCATACTATTTGCTATTTTTTTTCCTTCTGTTCTGTTTTGTTTCCTCTTTCTTGTGGTTCCTCCTATTGGTTCTAATTCTTCCTTATAACATCATTAATGTGAAAATGTGTTTAATAGGAATGTATATGTATAGTCTATATTAGATTGAGAGTTGTCTTGGGGAGGGAGGTGAGGAGTAAGGGGAAGAAAAATTTAAAACTCAAAAGTGTATGGAAGTTATTGTTGATAAATCAAAATAAATTAATAAAGTTAACAAAAAAGAAATACAAGGATGCAATAAGATATAGTCCCTGTCCTCATGGAGCTTATATTCCAATAAGGGAATACAATGCAAACATAAACAGGAACTAATATAATCCATTCTTACAGCTCACTGCAGCCTATTCTAGGTTTGAAGTATCAATTTGGAGGCCAGTTTAGAAGGGCCCCGCCCCTATCTATCCCTCTTCTGCTTTCTAGCAGTCTCAGAGGAGGGGAAACCCTAACCCCACTACTCTGGACTCCTTCCCCTCTTACCCAGTAAAAGATTACATTTTTTTGTCTATCCCCCTTTTCTCATAGGGTAGTCTCAATTTCACTCATTCTACAGGTATCTTCTCCTCTACCTTTAAGAATATTCAGGTCTCTATTATCCTGACAAAGTCATTGCCCTTTCCAGTTCCAGCTTTTTTTTTCTTTCTTTTTTTTTTTTTTTAACCTTTCACAACTAAGTTTCTCTGGGAAGCAGTTTATGAGTGTTTTCTCACCAGCATTATCCTTACGTATTTTCAGTTGGTCTTCCATCCTCACCACACCAATGTAACTGCTCTCCCAAAAGTCCTTGATGACTTTCTGGCCCAACTTGAGTTTCTTTTCAGTTGTCCTGTTCCTACAACTCTCACTACATCTGTCATTATTGTCCACTCTCTCCAATTCAATATTCTTCCCACCTTCCTCTTGAGTAACTGTCCTCCACTGGTTCTCCTGGGTCTCTGATTGGACCTCTCTCTCCCCCTCCTTCTCTTCCTCCCCCTCCTCTTCTTCTCTCTCTTGTCCTTTACCTGTAGACATTACAGCTCAGCTTTGTAGTTCCTCCTTAATGAAAACAAGCTTGAGCTAGTTAGTAGTCAGGAAATATATTTGCTCCTTCGGTTACAAGTTGCATATCACCTTAGGCATATCACCTAATATTGACAATACTCAGTTTCCTTATCTGTAAAATGACAGCAATGATAACTACTGGCCTACTACATGGGGACCACTGCCAAAAATCAAAATACTCAATAACATGGAAGGAGAAAATGGATGTTACCGTGAATATAAATTGAAAAGTCCTATATAGATATAAGCTCTTATTACTTATTTACTTCATAATTCATCTAAAGGTTGTCCTTCCATTACTTTTAAGCTTGGCACTCCCATTTTTCAGGACAGAGAAACTGAGGTCAGAAGATTTGCTCCTGAACAGTCAATTAAGAGCTGAACTAGAAGCAGGTGCTTCCTGAATCCTACATTGCTAAGTATTTCACCTTGCCCACAGAGGGTTATCTGTGTGGGCCCTAAACGATCCTTGTGCTACCTCAAACTTCCTGGTCCAGTGTGGGGCATTCAAGGAAGTTGTAGTTGAGGTCATGGGCATTTATTCATTTGTTTAACAAAAATTTGCACCCTAGTTTGCCCCCAAATCATCATACATGCAACAGGGGCCCCCTAGTGGCTGGGGGAAGTTCCAACTATGTAGGACCTGAACCCCATTAAAAACACTCAGATATAGGGGGAGAGGGAGAAAGAAAGGTAGAGTGAGATCCAGGCCATATCCTGGACCCTGTGAAGCCACAGATGTGGCTGTATCCCATAGCCCATAAGGAATTCTGGCTCTTGTTCCTGGGCAGACTCTGGTAGGAAACAGTGTAGAAATTTTCCATTGTATTAATGTTCATTCCCAGATTCATAGATTATTAAAGATGAATGGGTCTTAAAGATCATGTGGTCTAATCGCCTCATTGTACAAATGTGGAAACTGAGGCCTAGTGAGGTGAAGTGATTTGTCCAAGGTTACAAAGGTTATGCTGTTGTTCAGTTGTTTTTCAGTCACGTCTTACTCTTTGAGGACCCTATTTGGGGTTTTTTGGGTGAGATACTGGAGTGGTTTGCCATTTCCTTCTCCAGCCCATTTTACAGATGAAGAAACTGAGGCAAATAGGGTTAGGTGACTTGCCCATGGTCACACAGCTAATAAGTGTCTGAAGCCAGATTTGAACTCAGAAAGATGAGTCTTCATAACTCCAGACCCAGTGCCACCTAGCTGACCTATACAGGTTACATAAACAAATCAAAGAAACACTAACATTGTTAATAAAAAGGTTATGATAATCTAACACAGCTCTATTCCCAATCCCTAAATGCCCAGACTAAAACTCCTTTACTGACTATTATTGCTGTATTCCTTTATTAGATTGTAGCTCCTTGAAGGCAGGGACCATCTGACATTTTTGTGTGTACCCTACTGCTTAGCAGAGTCATTGGCACAAATTAAGTGCTTAGTAAATGCTAAGCTGGTAGCATAACCAGACTGACACCCTAGGGTCCCTTGACTCTTTTAAGTCCACCCAGGACCCATGTTACCTACTATCATTGTTTCCTAAATAAATCTGGGTTTGGTTTCTGACCATCCCAAAGACTTATGGGATCATTGGCCTATTTCTTTGCCTCCAGGTGGGTTTAAATGGATTTAGTGGGAAAAGCAGGAACTAAGAAGCGGGAGACCTGGGTTAAAGAACTGGATCAACCACTGTAAGATCTTAGACAAGGCCCTCTGGCATCTCTGGGTCTCATTTTCACCATTTGGGGATAATAATAGGTGGCCTGCCTCCTCCACAGGATTGTTGAGAGAATCAAATGAGATAATGCATGTAAAAACATTTTGTAAAAATGCAAAGCACTACATAACTATAAAGACTGAATAAAACCCTAAAATCTCATTCTAGATAGGTAGTTATCTAATGTATATTATCAGACACTTTTGGGAAAGAACATTCTATATCCCTCCTGGTAGTCCATTGTCCTACTTAGCCAATCTTCTGTGCTATAGTTATTTTGAAAATTAATTTTAAAAATTCTGAGCTCAAACACCAAATAAAATGTACACTTCCATATACATGGTAGAACAGAAAAAGAAGATTATTCATTGAACTGTGAATCTCTATTAAGCACAGCTTGCCTTTCTTTTTAGATACTTTAAAATTTTAATACATTCAGCCTGTAATTTCCAAATTTGTACTACTTGCCTATGATTCTTTTAGGCTTTCCTTATTTTCTCTTCTGTACATTTAAAAAATGCTTCAATGCCTCTCCTTTCTCTATTTTTTAAAAACTATCCCTAGTCCCCTTTCCCTCCCACTAACTACTTCAATTAAAAAATAAAAAATAAAAACAAAGCCCTAGTAACAAATACATATAGTCAAACAAAACAAATTCACACATTGGCTACGTCTGAAAACATATGCTTTATTTGCTATAATTCAAATCTATTTTCTCATTAATTAACATTTACTAGATACCTGTCACTAGACTCTAGAGTGAGTAGGGGCACATAATCTAGATAGAGTTTGGCCAAGGGCAAGGTAAGATGTATTACCATGGGACTAACAATATAAAGAGTGAAGCCAGGGATCTACAGGGCCTGCTGGAAGTCATTAGCTCAACTAGAATCTATTGGGCACATCCAGGATTTGAGTTGTGGAAGCTGGCATTCTTCACTGCATCAGGGTTATAAGTCAAGGAGGTTAACAACTGCAAATGGGTACATGGAAGAGAAGAAAAAGAGAGAGGGTCAGCCCTCATAATGCAACTTAAAGAGATGGGGGAGGACAATTTTATTATTATTTTGTCATCACTGTTATTATCATCCTGGCCATCACAATCACCAATATCATTATGACCACCATTATCATGATGACTACCACCATCCATATCATCACCACCATAATCACCATCACTGATTATGCCACTGTGACCTGTAATCACAGGGTTGTGATCATGGCCACTACTACCATCAGTGTCATAATTACTACTATCATCACCATCATGATCACCACCATTAGCAAAACTACGATCAACCCCAACATCCTAAGACTGATGAAAGACAAATACCTTATCTCTCTAATTTTAGTTCTCCTTCCTGCTTACTCCATATAGATGCAGGGCAATGGTACTTCCAGAACTGCCAATGTTAGAATACAGCTACATATGGGTCTTACTTTAAATAAACTTAACATATGAAAATTCAGATTTATGAAGTAGATCAATTGGGGTGGGGGTGATTATTTGATTTACAAAGGGGTTTTTCATTTAACAGAGGGAATAATTGTATGATTCCTTTGAACAGCAAGCTCCCCTGAGCTCTTAAAGTAGGAGGATTATTCATATAACTTTCCAAGTGCATGCCCATTGCCTAAAGCAAATGTGCGAGTTCTACAATAAAACACCCTTGAAAATACTCACTTTCTCTTTCAAGGTACAACTTGTTTTGACAGGAAGGATAAATGCATCCCTCTACCTATTCTTCATGTTCCAGTTCCCTAAGTTTCACCTTCTCCATAAAACTGTCCCTGACCTCCTGAAACTACAGGAATCATTCTCCCCGTTTCGAATGTCGGCAGCATTTAATGTCTATGCCACAGGTTTGACTCTTCTCACATGCTGCCTTCTGATAACATGTTTGACCAACGTATTTGGTATGTTTTTTAATGGACATTTTCATGCGATTGCTTTTAAGTTATTTTCCTAAGGCACAGATCTGACTGTGTTGATCCTCAGAAGTTTACAGTATGTTCTAGTTACCTCTAGGATAGAACACAAACTCCTCAAGTGGATGTTTAAGACCCTCCATAATTTCTCTGCGGCAGCCCAGTCGAGCAGCTAGCTCGCTATTCCCCATCTCTGGGTTCCATGCAAATGCACAAGCCCCATCACCCATGACTGTAACCAGAATGCCCCTCCCCTTCTCCTCCCAATCAAGACCTCTCCTTCCCCCAACCCCTCTCTTCCCTCAAGGACACCTCCTCCAAAAACTCTTCCCTGATTCCCACAGATGTTAATGTTCTTCCTTCTTTTAATTCCCTTACATTTACTCCTCTGTATCCATCATAGGTAAGTATTGTCTTTGTATTCTCAGAACCAAACCTGTGATTATTTATACACATATCACACAGTATACATATATGCACATACACACATACCACACACATACACATAATACATACATATATAATATATATTTACATACCTATATCTATATTTATCTATATAGAGAGTCAGTGCTTAATAAATATTAAATTTGTTGTGTTCATGTGTGTATGTTCTATTTTCTGAATCAGAGTATAAGCTCTGGGAAGGCAGGGCCCATCCAATGCTTCTTTTGTATCCTGCTCCTTCTTCCTCTTCCCAGCTGTACCTCCTAGTCCCAGTATAGTAGCTTGTGCACAGTAGGCATTCAGTAAGTTGTTTTTGACTGATCTTATTTCCTGCTGTTCTTTTGCTGGTGTTGAAGGTGCCTGGTAAGACAAGCTGGCAGATGGCAGAGGCTGGATCCTTAATGGTAATGCTGGCTGGGCTAGATTCTGTCTCCACCTCCTGGATCATTTCAGGCCCTGCTTCTACCAGAAGGACTCTAAACATGGAAGAGGAGGCAACAGGCTCCTGAATGGCCTCCTGATTTGGGAGGGATCCCTCTCCATTATACCCAGTGACAGTCATCGCTATCATTATAATTGAGGATTTGTGAAGAAAAAAAAATCGCTCTTGATCTCATGCTAGGTGCTGTCCAAAGAATATGTACCTCCTGGGAAAATAAAATTTGAGTCAGACACAGCTAATTAGTGATAACCAAAGACTGAACATACCTCACAGGTTTAGGTGGAAGCTTATTTAACTATATTTGACAGCATAAGGAACAGTGTCAGTAAATAACAGCCGTGGGGCTTGGATATGATTTCCATGGGCATCCAGAGGAGCACAGTTGGTTTTCTGATAGATTCAGGAAGGCTTCCTGGAATACTAAGTTCAAGAGATATTTAAGTAAACGGAGAAAGAAACAGTTTAAGATATAAGTGACAATGATGGTTGTCTTGCCCTTGAGAAATTAATAGGATGGAAGAACCAGCAAGTGTCCTTGGGGCAGAGGCATAGGAATTGGTTTGGGAAAGAGCACAAAAAGCTTAGATATGGTAACATCATAAGGTGTAGAATTGGAAGGGACCTTAGAAGTGTCAAAGCCTAGCCCCAACTCATCATTTCTCACCCAGAGTTTCACAAGTCTTTTGTCTGGTCCCTTTCCTTCCGCTGTGGCCTCCTCCCCATCCATCCTCCATAGAGCTGACCAGATGATCTTCCTAAAGTGCAAGTCTGACCATATTATTCCTCTTCTCTAGAGGAAATTCTAGGGGAAATTCTTCCTATCGACTCTAGAATAAATACAAACGCCAAAGCTTGACATTTAAAGCCTTTTACAATCTGACTCCAGCCTACCTTTTTAATAATAATAACTAACATTTATATAACACCTACTTATGTGCCAGGCACTGTGCTAAACACTTTACTACTTAGGAAACTGAGGCAAACAGAATTAAGTGACTTGCCTAAGGCCACACAGCTAAGCAACTAAAGAAACACTCATACCGTAAGTATTTAAGGTCACATTTGAAATCAAGTCTGCTTGACTCCAGGCTGGGTCTGTTTCTGAACATCTCTCTCCTTAAACGCACTCACACTATGTTTCTGACAAACTAATTTAATGCTATTTCTCACATTTTGCAATCTATCTTCCTCTTCCATGTCTTTGCATATCCTGTACCTTTGCATTCTTTTTTTTTTTGGTTAGGCAACTGGGGGTTAAGTGACTCACCCAGAGTCACATAGCTAGTGAGTATTATGTGTCTGAGACCACATTTGAACTCAGGTCCTACTGACTCCAAGGCCAGAGCTCTATCTACTTCACCACCTAGCTGTCCCTATCTTTGCACTCTTGGAATGTGCTTCTTACTCACCTTTACTTCTTAGAATACTTACCTTCTTTCAAGATTCACCTGGTAGTTAGTAAGTTCTCTATCCTCAAATTCTATTTACATGTTACATTCTATCTCTATCCTTCTAATGTAAATTTTTTCAGGGCAGAACCATCTTATTTTCTGATCATATACTTACATCTGGAGAGATCAAATAGTCAAATTCCCCCTAAATGTTACAGATGAGGAAATTGAGACAGTGTAGGAACGTGGTTTGGCTCATCTCACAGGTAGGTAACAGTAGAGTTAGGATTTGAACCCAGGTCATCTGACCCTAAAACCAGTGCTCCTTCCTTTACATGTTTCCTCTCCATATTTAGAATGAAGTTCCTAACTTTTTTTTAGTCCCTGTATTCTTTGGCTTTCAGTAACTAATTCCCCCATTCAGTATGAAAAGAATTCATTCTTAAGTTGACCATTCACATGCATATAAGAAATAAAGTAGGTTACTATTTTAGGATTTTTTAAAAATAAATTTTGGCTGATGTCTTTTGTTTTTACACACCTAACCCCCCCATCCCCATCCCTCTTCCTTTCCCTCCAGAAAGCCATTTTTAAAAAGAGAACATTTTTTAAAAACAAAAAGAAAAGAGGAGGAAAAAAATCCCAGCAAAACCTATCAATACATCCCCCAAAAATCTGAAAATATTTGTAGTGTTTCACAGCTGTGGACCTCTCACCTCTGTAAAGTTGCGTGTGTGTGTGTGTGTGTGTGTGTGTGTGTGTGTGTGTGTGTGTGTCTTCTATGGGACCATGTTTGTTCTTTGTCATTTTGTAACATTTACCTTCAATTTTTTGGTGGTCGTCGTTCCTTCCATTTACATTGTTGTAGTTGGTTGGAAATCAATTCAAGAAAATCCAATCAAATATTTCCCTACATCTTTGACAAGCTCCTCATACCCCAGTTTGGGAACTCGTGGCTTAAAGCCAAACTAGGGCTTCAAGGTGGAGTTGGTCTGGTCAAAGCAATGGGAAATGACAACTTCAGCAGCAGTGGTGAGAACAGCCTAGAGGAGGCTACATCCAATGAGGATGAGGTTGCTGTAGTCTAGGTTATAAATGATAAAGCACTTAGATTAGGGCAGCAGCTGTAAGGATACTGGGGAGGGGAGTAGGCTTAGGCAAGGATGAAACAATTCTCCCTGTCCGAGGTACCTCCCCTGTCTTTTCCACCTACCAAATTTTACCCAGCTGTCAAGGCCTAATTCAAGATTCCCCCTTCACTGACTATTCCAGCCCAGATTTTGATGCTCTCTTGGTACCATGCCTAGCACATAGTAGGGGCTGGATATTTATTGACCGATGAACCCATACAGCATCTATCTGGCATTTAATCATGTACTGTCCCAGAAATACCATTAAACTGTTTACTGCGTATACTGTGAAGTCAATGAGAACATGAATGAACTCCATGAGATCTTGTATTTTTCTTTCATGTCCCCCGGTGCTGTGCTGATTGATTGAAGTGCTGTCCTAAACTTTAGGACAGTATGAGAACTAGCATCCTTGTCAGGGATGTCACAGAGAGAAAGAGATGTGAAGGGTCACAGACTGAGACAGAAAGGAAGGGGAAAGGAAGATATCAGCATTGAGTTTGTCCTAGACTTTGGTTACTGACAAAATTCTTTATCCCATAACATAACATGCCAGGAGTACTACCTGAGGTAAGGACATCAAGGTTATTTTGGGTCTGGAAATAACTTCAGGGGAGTTAGAGCATATCTCTCTTTTTCTCTTTTCTCCCATTCCCTCTCCCCTCATTATTTAAATAGCTTTTCACTTTCTGCCTCCTCTGTGAGGCCTCCTTAGGTTGACCAGAGGTCAATCAACGGATTGCTGCCTTGGCCAAAGTGGGGATGGAATTCCCATGGAGACTCTTTTTGCCCCCATCAATCATCACAATGATTACAACTTATGTTATTCACTCCATTACATTCTGCTTCAAAACTGAGCACTGTGTGTCCACAGTCCATTCTATCACTCCCATTAGTACCTGGAGAGCTTGCTGCTCCACAGGGAAGGTAATGGACTAACCTGTCCAGATGCTCAGCCCATCATCACATGTTTCCAAGTCTTCAAGGTGTTAGAGAGGCCAGGTTAGTTCATTCCAGTGACTTCAACTCAATAAACATTTTTGAAGTGCTCAGCATGTCCTATATAATGGGTACTTACTGAGGGGACACAAGAGAAAGGCACAGTCCCTGCCTTCCTGGCACTTGCAATTTTACTAGGGAGATCAAACTGGGACGGGGGGGGGGGAGGGGAGACTAGAAAGCAATTTTAAGGCAACATCCATAGAAATGTGAAATATCTTGGCACAAGCCTGTATATTAAATTTCAAGGAGGTAGATTTTGGGTTAAACCATGAAAGATACAAAAGGCGGAGTAGGCAGCATTTAAAGCGGTAAAAGTGGAAATGAATAGATATGTTTCTGCGTACAATCTGGACCTGGCCCTAACCCATCCCTGGACATTACTCCTCCTCTTCAGCGCCATAATCCAAACTGGCCCCTCTCTTCCTCACTTTGGTCACTTCATCTTCCATCTCAGTGCCGATATACTGGTTATCCTTCATGCCTGGAATTCACTCCCTTCTTATCGCTGCCACAGAGTACCTTAAAAATTCAACTCAGAAACCGTCTGCATGAACTCTCTGGTGATGCCCTCCAATATCCAGTGCCCTCCCCCACCATAATGCCTTGTTTAAAAAAAACAACAACTTCTTAGAGGTAAGTATTTAGCTTAGTATTTATGCTGCAGAAATTTTATATATACTTGTCTTCCCCATCCACACGTAAGGTCATTGAAAGTGGGGAGCGCTACAATTCTTTGTATTTGTGTCTTCATTGCCTAGCACTCCTATGTCTGGTACATAGGAGACACTCAACATAAATACCTGTTGATTGATTATTCCTGAATAGAGCACACGGTTAATGCTGAAATGATGGGGAGAGGGGAAGATTTCAATTGTTTACTATAGAACAAAAGGGATTCCTCCTTCCCTCTCCCCTCTACAGGTCCACACTGAGATAAGAGTTAAGTCTCTAACTTGCCTAGATCAGTCTTTGCTCCTCTAAGAACTTCCTAATGGAACGCCAGGTTTCTCCCACTTGTATGAATGAAGGGTCACTCACGCAGGAGGAAGCCCGACACAGCACCCAGGATATGTGAGAGATGAGGCTTGCGGGGGGTGGGGGGAGGTAATATTCGGCAGCTTTTTCCTCACCAGGGATATTGCTGTTCTGCAGCCTCCACCACTCCCCCATCCCCTGACCACTCCGGTCTTGTCTGTCCAGCTCAGGGCCCAACTTTCCCATGAATGGTTCGAAATCCAAAGATACGCGGCATCTTTCCCGAGCTAAGAAGCTCCCTTCTCCCAGCTGCAAGGCTGGGATTTCCAGGGCAGCAGCCGCAGAAGCAGCGGCGGCGCAAGTAGCGCCCGGAGTCGCGAGAGGGGAGGAGTTCTGGTGGCAGAGCCAGCCAGCAGGCTGGGACAGCCAGCCGGCCTCTGAAGTAATCCCCGAAGTTACATGTGGGAAGTGGTGGTTGTGTGACGCAAGTTTTCAGGGGGCCCTCCACTCCGAGGGATCTCTCCGGAGCGGGCTGGACTCCTCACAATGTGAAAAGAAGAGGAAAACAGCCCAACACACCGCGCACCCAGAGCTTGCTTCCTTGCTATTGCTGCAAAGCAAGAATAAAGCTTCCCAATCTCTAATCCCTTCTCTTCCTCTCCTTCCTTACCACGCCGTGGGGTGAGGGTCCAAGGATGCCTGCACACCCCTCCAGCACCTAGTGCAGGTTCGGGGCCGGACTCCCGGGGGCAAGCTGCGTTTCTCTCAGTTGCTGGGGTGGGTTTTTTTTTTTTGCAATCCTTGCCAACCTGTCAGCTGATGGACCTCATCACCCATAGTGGCGCATGAAGCTCAGACAGTTTGCTTCATTCACACAGTCCCTTTCCAGCCCGCCCACCGCACCCCCCAGGCCCCTTGGCGGAAAAGAAGTGGTGCCGGCCCCTAGCCAAAGGCTATCCCCAGGGTTCCGCTCCCCTCTCGCCCCAGTCTCCCGCCAGCCCGGGGGGCGCTGCAAATAGTCCTTTGTTTACATGCAATTCCTTACTCCGCGGAAGGAGGCCGGGGGAGTGCTGAGTTTTCACCAGCTGTTTCCCGCCTTGAAACAGACATCTGATCAGCTGCAAACACACATACACACACACTCACACACACGCACGGGGAGGCAGGCCGGAGAGACCTCCCCCTCCCTCCTTCTCCCCCCCCTTGCCGCCAGCATCTGGGACCGGGAGAGCCAGCACCTCCGACGCTGCCCTTTGATTCGGATTTCCATTTTGCATTCTCCTGCGGATCGGGACCACGGACTTGGCTTTTGCAGAGAAGGGGGGTGCTGATCGCTATGGAGTATTTCATGGTGCCCGCTCAGAAGGTGCCCTCTTTGCAACATTTCAGGAAAACAGAGAAAGAAGTGATAGGAGGGCTCTGTAGGTGTGTACCGCTCCCCCCCTTTTTTTTTCCCCTAATGCAACCCCTGGCCAGCCTGCCCTCGGCGCATGTGTGTGCATGGCATGGCACCGGCCCGACTCCTTTCTTAGGCGCCGCCGAGAGCAGAGGGGCTGCTGCACCGCGTGCGGAGGCTCGCTGGGGCTTCTCCTTTAGAGCGCCGGGACCCCAGGCAGCCCCTGAGCGCGCCCCAGCTACTTTTGTCTGGTGCAGGCGAGCGAGTCGCGACGTTTGTAAATTGCAAACAGACCCACGTGGTTCTGCAGCAGTCCCGGCCATGCTGGTCGCTTTCTCCCCCTCTTCCTCCTCCTCCCCCTCTCCCGCGGCGGCTTCCTTTCCCTCCTCCTCTTCACTCTGGTTCTCGCTTGGCGCTGAGAAGGGCTTTTTTTTTTTGCGGGGGGGAGGGGAAGAGGGACGGGACTCCGCGGGGTACTGGCTTGCGGGGCTGGGGCGTGCACGGGGCCAGGTTGCAGGCGGCAGTGGTTACAATGCAGCCATGCTGCTCCTCCGGGCTGCTCTGGTCGGGTGGGGGTGGGGAAAGGGGGGAGGCGATGTGCGTGTTTGCAAACAGTCGGGTAGGAATGGGGGTGTCCCTTGGTGTGTGTGCGGTGTGGTGTGTGTGCATGTGTGGTGTGTGTGCGCGTGGGTTAGGGGTGAGCCGGGAGCTTTTGGAGCTAGTCGCCTGGGATAGGGCAGCCGGTGACCCCTGGGCACGTTGGGGGCGGCTCGCCAGCGCTGGGGCGCTGTTTACCAGCGAGGCCTGGACGTGACTCTGCAGCCCTCTTGGAGTAGGCGGATCTCCGCCCGCGGTCTCCTGGGAGATGTAGTTCTCGCGGGCCCCTAGTGTGCGGGATTGTGGGAGCTGTAGGCGCTGCCCGGGCCACGCTTTCCATGCACAAAGCATGGTCCACGCGGGAGGGGGAAGGGCAGGGAGCTCCGGACGGGAGAGATTTACCATGAGTTGCGGGGTAGGCCTACTTCCCCCTCCCCCTCCCCAGCCCAGGCTGGGGGCCACTTTCCCCTCCTCCCGCCGCCGGTTTCGTTCTGTCCCTTTTCCACGTGGGTCTCTGCCACAAACTCCCAGACAGCACGTCCGCCAACCCCCAGGCAGAAACTGAAAGAATTTAGTTTCCAAGAACTCTTGTGTTTGTGCAGGCTTGGTCCTTGCTACCCAGCAGATTTGGGGATGGGGAAGTTTGCGAGCCTGGACTCTCTGGGACCTTAACTTTGAAATGCTAATGGTTTTGGGGGTGTTAGGCAGCCCTCCCGCCCCAATAGACTCCATGACTGGCAAACATCGTGTGTCTGGGCAGGTGGCTGCTGCTTAGGAGCAGCCAGCTCGGGGCCCTCCCTCCAGAAGTGCCCCCAAACTCTCGGGGCTCATTGGGATAAATTGAGCAGGACTTTCAAGGAACGTGACATGTGGGACCCCATCGATTTCCTCACTTCCTTATGCTCAGTAGGGAGAATTTTCTGGAGTCTTCTGCCTTTGCACACCCAGACCTCACTAACTTAATCTTTGCAGAGTCGTAGTGGAACCCCTCTCAAATTTCTCTCCCGGGAGTAGGGTAGTGGAAAGGTACACTGGTAGAGACAGGAACTCTTGGCTTAGGGAACTAAGACTGGGTTGGTTAATGGGGAGGAGGGAGTGTCATCTTTTGAGGGCAGAAAGAAAATGAGGGAACTTTAATCAATTCTTAGCCTTGGATCTTGATTTCAGCCTCACAGTCAGGATCGGCAGCTTCCTTCCATTCACGCTGTCCAGCTCTGCCGATCATATAATCAATAAGTAAAATAAAGGGCTTGAAATTGGATGGTCTCTGAGGTCTCAGTGCTAATGTCATATGATAAACTTCCCTAGTACTGACGTTGGGGGTGTATAGAAGACTCTCATAGTGTGATGGAAATAGCTGTGAACTTAGAAGACCTCTTAATAAGTTGTTTGACCTTGGCAATGTTTTTTTTTCTCTCTGAGCCTCAGTTTCTTTATGTTGTTGTTCAGTCTCATCCCATTCTTTGTGACCCCATTTGGGGATTTCTTGGCAGAGATACTGGAGTGGTTTGCCATTTCCTTCTCCAGTTCATTTTACAGGTGGGGAAACTGAGGCAAACAGGGTTAAATGACTTGCCCACTAGTACTGTGCCCAGATTTGTATTCAGGAAGATGAGTCTTCCTGACTCCAGGCCTTGCACTCTTTCAACTTTGATGGTGATAGAAACCTTTGAACTACCTACTTCACAAGTTTGAAGAAATGTGTGAAAGTGTAAGTTTGTTGTTAGTATGAATAAAGCTGATGCCTTCCCTCAAAAAAATTTACCTACAAAATAGGATTAATACTCAGACCTGAAAAGATAGTGTATGCCAGGTGACGTTAAGTGAGGCACTTTTCTCACTGTCTGTTGTCTCGGTTTCCTCAGCTGTAACGAAGGGGATATATTAGAATGCTTAGCATTCCTTCAGTTCTAAGTCAATATGGTATACAGTGGAAAGAGTATTGACTAGAAGTTGGGAGACCTGGACTCAATTACAGGCTTGGTGACCCTGGGCACATCACTTAACCTGTCTCTCAGCTTGAGCTTCCTTAGATGTAAAATGAGGACTTGCACTGCTGTGTACCCCTCAGGATTGTTGAGGGAAGCATTTTGTGAAGTGGTCAAGTACTATTGAAATTCTGGCTCTCCGATTTTATTTGATCTTCAGGAGCTAAATCAGGAGCACACAAGGGTAAAGATACAGGAAGATAACCAGCGTATCTGGGAAAGTCAGGGTAGACTTCTCAGAGGAGGAGAAAAGGGGGATTTTAAGTTGGCCCCTGTAAGGATGATTAGTTATGGATTGATGAGGCAAGAGGAGAGGGCATTCCAAGCACTGAGGCCAGTCTGGTAAGGGAGGAGGAGTATGGAGGGAGATTTAGGAAAGGAAGCAGAGTCAGCCAGGAGGCAGCTGCTGTCCAGTCAGCCAGGCCTGAGCATGTGGAGAATGGGATTCCCAGGAATTCTGTTTTGACCACTTGGCAACTCTTTTCCCTGTGAGGTTTCTGGGCATCTTACCAAATTGAAACCCAGGGTCTGAAGCTTCTGTAGGCCTGTTGGAACCCTTGTTTGTGCTGGCAGATACTCTTAATGTGTTTCTCTTCCTTTAATTTGGGTCTGCTGTAATCTAAAATAAGAGATGCATTCCTTACACTGGTTTCTGAAAGTGTGAGATGTGGCAGAAACACCAGCCCAGAACAGCTGTTTACCCACCTGGTATGAGCTTGTGGCTTGATTCTTAGATTTCAGTGTCCTGTGGGTCAGATCACACCCCTGAACTTATATATATACAATCCTTGTCTAACCCTGGTGCCCTGTGAAGCAGGTGCAGAGTCTGTCCTTGACATCAGCCTTTCTCCCCTTTGGGGAATAGGCATGAATGGTAGTACAGGGGATTTAGGCCAGGTGCAAGGAAAAACTTTTGGTGTTGCACTTGGGATACAGAGGGAAATTGTAATGGTGTGCTGAGTGCACCAGTAGGGAGAAATCATTGGATTGCAATGGTCAGAGAAATAGAGAATGAATGTCAGAGCTGGAATTGGTCTTATTTAATACTTTTTTGTTTTGTGGACTCCTTTGGCAGTCTGCCGAAGCCTTTGCACCCCTTCTCAGAATCATGCTTTTAAATGCATAAAATAAAATACCAAGGTTTACAAAGGAAAATTATATTGAAATGCAGTTATTACAATGTTAAAATAAGTAATGGACCCCAGGTTAAGAGCCCCTGATCCAGCCCAAATCTGTCATTTACAGGAAATTAAGATGCAAAGTAGGAAAATGTCTTCCCTGATGTGAAATATCGACTTTATGGCAGAATGGATCTTTAGAACCCAGATTTTCTTTGAGTTTAGGACTCAGGCCATTGCACCAAGTTGCAAGGAGAATGAGGGAGGACTTGAAGAAAGAGAAAGATTTGGAAATGTAGAGAGTACTTGGTGGGAAGCCTCTTCTGGGTAGGAATTGGGTCAGTGGTGTGTTTATGTGTGTGTGTGTATATATACATTTATATATATATACACATACATAATAGTGCTTTGAGGCTTACAAGGAATTTATATACATTATTTCTCATTTAGTCCTCATAACAGCCTTGAGATAGATGCTTTAGGTATTCTCTCAGTTTCACAGACTGAGAAAATTGAGACCCAGAGAGGGATACCAACTTGCTATACAGCTAGTAAGTGTGGAACCTAGTGTGAAAGGAACGCAAGTCTACCCAGACTCCAAGTTCATTGCTCTTTCTGCTATATGCCATGCTGCCTCTGATGGCAATGGCCTGACCAGATCAGAACCCTGCTAGTAAGGGGAAGTAAGAATGAGGTGGGGGAAGCAGCCTTGGAATGGAAACAATTTCAGATCTCCAGCTCCAACACTTACTTTCCATGTGATGTTTGAATGGGTCATCCATCA